TTGAATTAGAATATCAGAATTATAAAATCCATAAAACTTCAACACAGTATAAAACCATAAAGCAAGAAATTAACTTCATTTATCTTAATACTATTGTCTATTTTAGAATTTGAAAATTGGACACTAGCTTATTAAATATGACAGATCCAGATATTGCTATAAATTCCTTTATTACTAAAATGGAAAGAGCAATTAATAAATCCATAATTTACTCTGAACTTAAATCATCAAAATTTAAGAAATAGAAGTAGTTAAAATTTAGCAGTTCTCTAAATATTAACATAAACAGTATAACAACTTTTGTGACTAAAAATTCAATCTATTATAAAGTACTTGGTAAGAAAATTAATTTTTAAGAGTAATTAATTTAATATATAAATTAAATTTTATATTTGTAATTGTCCCACTGTCCCAAACAAATTTAAATGGATGCTCTATCACCCAGGCACCCATTTACTTGGCCCTTATGTATACAAAATAAATATGTTTTTGAACATGATTTCCCTTTATTAGTACATGTCTATTTTTCTTGTAGTCATGGAGGGACTTAAAAACAAAAGTCTCCAAACAAGCATCAGCTCTTCGGAATGCTAAAAGACAGACAGGAAATAAAAAAATAAACATTCAAGAGTTGACTGAATCAGATAAAAAAGTACTTAGTGTTATGGGCTATGACTATGTTGAAGGCACATCATGTCCAGACTCTTGGCCTGAAGAACAAGTATTAAACTATTTTTAATTTATGAAATTAAAAGATTTCTATATAACACACATATTACTATGTTATTTAGTCTGAAGATGTAGAACGTATGGCTGTAGGAGATATTACCATTTTGGAAGCAGTGCCTACTAGCTTTACTATTAGACCTGATTTTGATCATGACAGTAATTATTTAATTACTCTTTTTTAAAAAACAATTCTTTAAGAACAATTCATTTTTAAGATATGTATCATTTAATTTAGGTCAGGATAATAACTTTACTGTGCTTGATGAAGAAAACTTAAACAATGTTGTGTTGGAATGCTTAGATTTGGATCAAAATGCTGAAAAAATATTTGTTGCACCTTCAAGTAGTACACTTCGTACCCCCTCTAACTTGACAGTACTTAACAGTACACCTTGCTCATCTCAATTATCACCAATATTAAAAACACGAAAAAGAAAATTGATGCCTCAGAATGAAAATAGCATGAGTAGTAGCAATTGTTTTTTTTATATATACAGCATTTATAATTATCAGTATAATTTTGATTTAGTTCGTAAAAATTTGAGAACACAATTAAGCGATGCAAGAGAAACATTTTCGAGGTTGGCTGAAACCAATGCAAAAAATACAGAAGTATATAATAATTAAATATGCATAAAAGTAGCTCGAAATGTTAAGTTTTCTTTTACTCTGGTATTATATTTGTTTTTAATAAAATGTGCATCGACATTAGACTAATAATTTGTATAATATTATACTCTTATTTGAATTAATTTTAATTTCTTAATTACACCCTGATTTTACATAAAAATACAAATTAATTTTAAAGTACTAGCTAGATAATAAATATTTTAATATTATTTTAGTAGAGCATATAAAGCTGTGTTTAATAGCTATGAGTATTTGGAAACTTTTCAGAACCTATCTCAATCCATTACCCAACTTGCTGGTGCAATGACTAGAATGGCAGATAATGACGAAAGGAGAATACGAAATGATGAAAATTTGGTTATTATAATGAAACAATTGATTGAAACAATAAATAAAAAATAAATAAATAAATAACATGTTAAAAAGGATAATTTTTTTTTATATCACTATACTTATTATTATAATTATTCATATAAAAGTTGTAAGTATCAATTTATTTTTTTTCAATTGAAATTGATGTTTAGTTCAAGTTTTTTTTTTATATGTTTAACTATAACTATTACTATTGAATGTTACTTGTGATAGTATTTTGTTGTTACTTATTAGAGTGATAAATATTATTTAGATAAAAATGTTATTAATTATTTTTTTAATTTGTAAAATCTATGAAAAGTGATGTCATAYGTACTAAGTCAAGGAATAGACTGATTGTATATTATATATTAATGAAATAAATTATTAAGTGTTAAATTAAAAGTACCATGCTTATTTTAATTAAAGAAAAATATCTAATAAAATCTCCGTCTGGTGAAATACTGCTGAAAATTGAGCATTTACTATTAAATAAAAATAAATAACCAGCAATMATAGCTGCTATACATAGGTAAAAATAAATTACAAACACAATTTAATTTAGGTAATTACCCATTATTTATTTAACATTATCTTGATTTTACAATTTGATACATTAATCAAATTTGTATTTACATTTTTTCTAGTTTTTGTATAATTTTAAGTGATACAATACTTAACACCTTTGACTTTAACAGATGTTACCATTGATTATTATTTATTAATTTAAATATTATTATTAATTTAAATTTATTTATTTTATATAGTATATATTTTTGATAGTGAAAGACATAGTAATACATAGCCCTTGTTATGTTAATGAACAAACACAATTCATTGGTCACCATCGATATAATCTGGAAACCAGCTTGCCATCAATTGTGTTTGCAGTCTCATCGCAACTATTCTTGGTCCTCTTCTTTMAATTATATCGTGATGTCTGTCAATATTTTCATATTGCTGTTCTGGTTCAATATAGTCTTCAATTTGTCGAATAGGTAGACGATACTGAATACGCATGTTGTGTATAACAGCACATGCGTTTACAATTTTGCCTGCCATTTCAGGTGTATACATCAAGACACGTTGATATGATAAACATCTCCACATGCTCTTAAACACACCAAAAAAACGTTCAACAATGTTTCTTGCCTTGCATAGTTTTTTAGTGTACATGTACTGTCTTGTTCCTTCAGGAAAATGTGGGAGTGGAGTTAACAGCCAAGGCTGTAAAGCATAACCAGCATCTCCTATAAATTAAATCAACCGTACAGAATTTAAAATTTAATATAATTTAATAAGTACCAAGTATAAAAGTACAATTCATATTATTTTAGTATTATTAGTTATTACCAATCAACCATGTATGTCTTTCACCAAGATTATAATGGTATTCTATTGCCCTGCGAATAGGAGAAGTACTCCATATGTAAGAATCGTTTCTTGCCCCAGGGAATCTGRCATTTATATTAAGTATTTTCATACCAGGATCAACAATCTAAATTTAAAATAAATTAGCTATTTGTTTTAAACAATTAATAATATTTTAAACAAACCGCTTGAACATTTAAGGAATGGTTACCATGGTGATTCATGTATGCTTCCTCATGTTCACTTGGGGCAATAATATTAATGTGGGTACAGTCAATAGCACCAATAGCACCTTCAAAATCTTGAGGAGCATCTACAAATTTTTGACGAGCAATTTGTCTTTCAACTGCAGTYATGGGAAAACGTACCCATCTCCTCAAAAGTGTATTGTTTATAGCATCTGTTACACTGTGAATGCACCTGCTGACTGAGGGCTGACTTATATTCACCACAAAATTATCCCCCATTGCTCGTTGATAACCCCCTTTAGCGTAGAAGTTGATAACTACTAGTACCTAAATGAAACAAAAAATTTTTTAATCAAATATACATATTTAAAATACATTTAAACAGTGGTGTATTGACAGTGGCGGTGCTAGGGGTTTCCACGCCCCAAGATTATTTTGTTATAAGACAATTATTTAAAAATCATTAAAGAAGACAATTTTAAACCTGCCTCAATTCACCGAGAGTTAACTTTTGAAATTGATGAAGTGATTAAAGAATTAGGTACCTGTAGTAAAAATACCATACACTTTTCATACACCACTGCACTTAAATACATTTTGTACACATTATTATTAACTGAATCGCAAAATACTTAAGTATAGGTAAACGATTAACCTTTAAAAATATATATTAAGTATTATACACTGTATCAAAAATATAAGAAGACTATGTTTATCCAAAAATATAGTTACTTGAATTTCCTCTGGAATTCCTGTACTGCGTTCTCGTTGAAGAAGGCCACGAATTTCATTTGTTAAATCCATAGCTAATTCTGGACTAACTCGAAACATATTCAAAAACTCATTTCTTGGAAGATCATAAGGATTTTGCGAGTCTCTTAATATTCTTCTCTCTATACGCCTTTCAAATATTTCAACCCTTTCCTCCAATGCCAACAAGTCCCAACCGAGATAAAATAAAGCCATATTAGTATCTAACTATTAACTACTATTAGCTAAATAGCTAATAGTAAAAAGAAAAACGACACAACGTACAACGGCAGTTTTATAAGTAGTGTTAAACTAATAAGTATTAACTAGTAACTAATAAATATCATGTTTAAATAAAATTAAATGAATGATATCGATTCGATAACGCTAACGGCCATTTCTAACCACCCGATACGATATCTAATATTTTCGCTATCATATCGATACTTTAACGATAAAATTCGTTACAAAACTTTTACAGAATCACTCTATCGATAACTTTTCGATAGTAGTCGTTTCGTTAGCTTAACGAACCGAAAGTTGTCGATAACAGGTCTTATCGAGTTACAGAATCGATCTGCAGCAGCGGTATTCTGTAACTCGATAAGCGGTTATCGAAAAACGTCGTTAACGAGTGCTTTTCGAGTTTCACGTCATGTATCGAATTTTGTTAACGAAAATGCGATTCTGTAATATCAGTTTTTCGTAATTTTTCGTTACAAAAATGGTTTTTRTGTTATCGACAATTTCGTTAATCTTAATAAATAATTCAAAGAGTTTCATAAAATTGACCAATCAAAAACTATCCTGATGAGTGGCGATAAGCTATTTTTCTTATCATTACTTATATGAACATTGTATAATGCACTATAATGAAACAAAATTTGAAATTTTTGTCGAATGAATCCTAATTTTTTCTGTTGTTATTACTTGTTCGGCCAAATCTTTAAGTTCTTAAAGTTCTTTATTAGTTTTTAAATTATGTCTAGTAATAGTGGACCTCCCACCAAAAGAAAGAGGCAAGGACGAAGAAATAATGACCAAATTGAATATTTGGTTGATTATATGCTACAACATCCAAATTTGGCATCAGGAAAATTTTTCAAAATGAATTCGAGGGATGCATTGCAGGGATCTTGGGAAGAGCTGGTAAAAGAATTGAACGAAATGCGTAGTAATGGACAGTCGGAAAAAAACGTCAAATCTTGGAAAGAAGTAGGTACAAAGGGTGGGCAAGATTTTGTGTTGAGTGCAGTATACATTTTTATTTTTTATCCTGCACTATAGAACAATAAGAGCCCACTTATATGTATATTGAAATGAAATGTATAGAATGGTCAGTCTTGTAAAATATTAGAATACAAGTATTCATATAATTGTATTTGATATTTACCCCTCACCTATTAATTTATACTAAATACTAAATAATGGTCATTATATTCATTAGTATACAATATACAATGAAACCAGATTAATAAGTGTCTAATAAAGAATACTCAATAGGTATAATGTAATAGTATAATGTATTAAATTTACATAACTGGAATAGCAGATGTATTTCACCACCCACCGATCCATGTTCTTTAGACTTCAAGCTTCTAACATTAATATTTTATGTGCAAAAACTAGTCATGGAGAGATCAGAAGACTAAGACATCAAAAAAGTCGGTGCTCTCAGAAGTGCTAGGGTGGAAACTGGGAACAAAAAAAATAATTTACCTCAGCTGTCAGATTTAGACACAAAAGTTCTAAGTATAATCGGAAATGATTACGTTGCAGGGACATCGTGTCCAGAGTCATGGCCGGAAGAACAGGTATTTTATGAATACACATTAAATATTATTAATTTGTTAGTAAATGATAACATAATATTGATTACTAATGTTTGGTAACATAATTCTAACAGTTTTGCATACACTCATCAATCTGTTTAATAACTTATGGAACTGGTTAATAATATAATATAATTGTCGTTGTATTTTTTAGGAAAATAATGTACAAAGAATGGCTTTAGGTGATGAAACTATTTATCTAGCTGAACCCACATCATTGAATATAGAAATAGATGAAGAAAACATTAACCAAGGTTTGTAATAACTAGGTACTACTACTACATAAGCTTATGTCTACTTCTTTTTCCTTTTCTTCCATCTAAGTTAGGAAGTTACTTTTTAATTCATAATTTCATATTAAATTTGTAACTCAACTAGTTGAATTTAATGTGTAAAATAGTCTAATCTAACTCGTTAGAAAAAAAAACTAACTAGTTATTATTATTATTTTTTTTTCATTCCAAAAGCTGTTCCTCAATCATGACATTATGGTTATATGGCTATATATGCCTATAATCTATTGGCTCATATATATTATTAATTATTAGTAATTATAAAAGCACGCACTGGAACCACGGTTTTCRCGTAGTCTGTAGAATGTAGATAAATTTGTAAAGAAAAAATGACTAACTTGCCCAGCTTCGTCCATAGGGCTCGCCCGCACCTCTTCTTTACCAAGACCACTTATTTCCTATAATTTGTTCAAAATCTTCATACTAGGATTCATTATTCATAAAATATAATTCATTTATTATGCACCCTTGCTTTTAAATATGTGTTTTAACTTTTACTAACATCTTATTAAAAAAAACCTGCTAAATGCCTTATGCGTGATTTACTAAACATCATCCACACCTCTCTTGGTCCTAACGCTTTCTTCTTTTTCATCTTCCTAACCGCACTCCACACTTCCTACGCACTAATAAGTCAATCATACCCAAATTCCAGGCTATATAAGGCTATAGTAGGTACTAATTTAAATTAAATTTTAAAGTAGGAGACAATATGGGTGCAGATCTAGAAAACATAGAATATGAAACCATAAGTTGTAGTTTCATTAATGAGGATGATGTGTCTACTGCACTCACTGCAAGTCAACAAATCCATAAGACTGCTGACGTAAGGGACTTGACAAGTTCAAAAAGACCAAGTAAGTTACAGTGTTAATTAAATGTGTTGTTGTACTCAACAAAGAAGGGGGGGGGGTATCAGGATTTATATTGTCACCCTTATTTTTGTTTTTGTAAATCTATATTTATTTATATAAAAGTGGCATGCTTAATTTTGAGCACCCATATCGATGGCTTTAAGGCCAAATATGATATGATCACTTTTTAAAAGATTGGTTTCATATGTCCAGCAAGAAAACTGGATGAAACATGTCCATACAGACATACAGTATTAGGCCAAACTGATAAATGCATTTTTGAACTTGCAAAGATATAGTATATAGTATATTATATATTTAAAAAAAATATATAGTATAGAGTTTTAGTCAAGTTAAGTCAATGTTATACAGTTAATTATTCACTATATCAAGTAGACACAACATTTAAAACTTACATTTAAAAAACTTTAGGTATTTGAAAAATAATAAAACTTTTAATGACTCCCGAACATTTTGGTATTTGTGGCATATCATATTTAATTTAATTTAAAACTCAAATTGGGCCACTTATTGTACCAATAAATAAAAATGTGTTTTTTCTTTGTTTTAAAAAATATCATAATTTTTTTTTTCTAGGAATGTTGAAGCAAAAACTTAGCACTCAGTTACAGACAGCTAGAAATTCCTTCAATGTAATTGCAGAAAAACAAGCTGATGCTATGACATTAATGGCAGATTCATTGTCGGTAATTGGAAAAGCCCTAAATACAATAGCTGATAACGATGCCAAAAGAACAGAAAACGACATGAAGATGATAGCACTGTATGACAAAATATTGCAAAAACTGTAGTCTTAGACAATATTTTTGATAATATAAGAATATAAGATGTTAAATAGTTCATTTAAGGTAAAAATCTAAAGAAATTTGATCTCTTCAAATACAAAGACAAAGTATGTCATTATTTTATTTTATTGTTAAATACTATACTGTTAAATAGTTTATTTAAGGTAATAACATTGTTAAAAATATAAAAAGTATGATTAGTTTAATAGAAATGACAAAGTATGTCATTATTTTATTTTATTGTTAAATACTATACTGTTAAATAGTTTATTTAAGGTAATAACATTGTTAAAAATATAAAAAAAATTTATCTATTCAAATAAAAATACAAATTATGTAATTATTTTATTATCTTTAATTAATTTAATCTTCCTCTTCCCCATCTCTTAAATGATCAAATTGATCAAGAATATGTTTTTGAATTCGTTTAGCCACCGCTCTGGGTCCACCTTGTTGATCAATATAGGGTATATCTATGTTTTCATATACATTTTGACCAATTTGTTCACCAGCTATCTCTTCTTCAGGGATTGGTAAATTATAATGGATTCGCATATTATGTAGAGTGGCACAAGCATTTACAATTCTACCTGCTTTATCAGGAGCATACATAAGTACTCTTTGATAGGAAAGACACCTCCAAACACTTTTAAATACACCAAAAAATCGTTCTACCACATTTCTGGCCTTACAAAGATTTTTGGTGTATTCAAATTGACGTGTCCCTTCCTGGTAATGAGCTAATGGTGTCATGAGCCATGGTTCTAATGGGTATCCAGCGTCGCCTATGTAAAACAATTATAATTATGGGTAAGCAATGATGACTTGAAAATTTCAAATTGGTATATAATATAAAATATTACATACTAATAACATGACTTACCAATTAACCATGTACGACGTTCTCCATTGTTATAATGGAATTCCATTCCACGTCGTACGGCAGACATACTCCATATATATGAGACGTTGCGAGCACCGGGATACCTTGCATTTATGTTCAAAATTTTCAAATCTGGGTCAASAATCTTATAAAAAAAATTCATAATACGAGTTTTAAATTTCATAAACAATATTTATTTTACACATAACAGGTAATACTTACTGCTTGAACGTTGAGCGAATGATTACCATGGTGATTAACATATGCCTCTTCATGGACAATTGGAGCAAGAATATTAACATGGGTACAATCAATTGCTCCTAAAGTACCTTCAAAAGGTTGGAGTGCAGCTACAAATTTTTCTCTACCTTTTTGTCGTTCAACAGCTGTCATTGGGAATTTAACCCACTGTCTCAAAAGACGCTGGTTAATAGCATTTGTCACGCTACTTATAGATCGACTTACAGATGGCTGGCTTATGTTAAGTATAGAATTACCACCCAAACCTCTTTGGTAACTACCTTGAGCGTAAAAATGAACGGTAACTAGGAACTGAAAAAAAAAATACAGATAAATATTTAATTTAGAAACTTTATTTACATACCTAAAAGAGAAACAAATTGTAACTACATTTCAGTCTTGTAAAGTAGATGAGTAATAGTATAATGTAGTAGAGTTATAACTATAGTTATAATATTTAGAATACTTACTACTATATATTTGTATTTGAAAATCAAATACTAATCAAAATTGAAACAAAATTAACTTACTTGCACTTCTGGAGATAATCCTGAAGAACGTTGACCTTGTAATAAAGGCCTAATAGCATTTATCACGTCAAATGCTAGTTCAGGACTTATTCGAAACATAAATATGAATTCTTCACGAGGGAGATCAAAAGGATTTTGTGAATCTCTCAAAACTCTTCTTTCGATTCGCCGTTCTTGTATTCTAACTCTTTCTTCTAACAGCATCAGTTCCCACCTTAAAAATTCTAGAGCCATGACGTTTATCTGAGAGAACGATCGTACTAAGAAGTTAGTTATAAKAATTAATAATTACTTCCAAAATCACAAGATTAAAATTTTAATATTGTATATGGGTATTGGGTACGAATGCATGATAACGGATCAATCATAACATGAAATATGATATTTTTCCTCTTATCCATCCCCGGTAAGTATTATCGAGGGGTCTTGATGGGGGTGTATTAGATTAACGATATTTTATTTTCACTATCGACAGTTTTAACGAAAATAGTTGTTAGGTTAACGAATATCTGTAGTACAGAATCGCTTTTATCGATAATATTCGATAAGAGAATTTTCGTTAGCGTAATGAATCGAAAGTTGTCGTTAAGCTAGCTTATCGAGTTACAGAATAGCGCTACAGCACTTGCTTGAGTAGTTTGCTGAACGACTCGCGGAGTGTGTGGGGATAAATGACAATAATAAAAGAATATGGTTTCAACAGCATATAATAATTAATAGATTTTCAAAACACAGACAATACAATATTGTACAACGCCCAAGACGTCTCTTTGGACGATTGTAATAATAATAATACTAATACGAATAATAATAATGATAATAAATGACAATTAATGTATAACAATTATGATGCACTTTAAAGAGCACAACAATTGCGCCATATGCAAATCGATATAAACAACAATCAACCAATATAATAATAATACAAACAATAACGATACCGTTGGTCATAATGATGGCGGAATCCCACGCCGATGACGGATATTGATGTGGATGGTTTGCGCGATCCCGCGAAGTCGCCAAATTATATTTTAGAAGCTTGACGATGGTGAGTCCGTTGACTTCCCGAAATATAATGTTACCTATCACACAAGACCTCCGTGACTTAATACATATGCGCACGACAATGTGAGCACGTGCAACAGCGTGTGACGGGTGGTGTCGGTGAATCAACCCGCACACGAACAAAATATACAACAAAACCAACCGACGATAGATGCAGATACAACACAAACTATCATAAATTGTTATAATGCTGACGACATACGGCATAAAAAAATTGTCGGTTGATGCACGACGACAACGTGTTATATCAAAGGCGACCGACACACGGTCACGGTAAACTATACCGGACGACGGTGGTGAACAGAGAGAGCGAGCCGCTGGAGAACCGGTGGTCAGCGATGCCGGTCGCCAAAAGCTCCGCGCAAGCGCACTTCGACATCGGTCAGCCAACCGGGTGACACGACAAGTGTCCAAACGGTCACACTGTTGGCCACGAGCGCGGCTCAAGTTCAAACACTTAATGTCCATGTTTCTGCTCCGTATGTAATTATGGGACGTAAAAGTGTAGTATATAATTGTAATTTTATATCTCTCGACAGGGATCGGGATCCTAGTATCCTTATGAGTCCGTAAAGACATTTGTTTCCCGATTGGATTCTTGCTGCCACTTCCTTATCAGTTTCATTTTTTTCGGTCAAAACAGAACCTAAATATTTAAATTGTTTGACTCGATTGAATTCATGGTTGCCAACTCTTAAGGATGGGTACATTCTGGTACTATCTCTTCTCCCCACCACCATGTATTMTGTTTTGTCTTCGTTTATTTGTAAGCCAACCTTCTTAGCTGCCTCCTCYAAACGGCCGCATAATGATCTTAAKCCATCATGTGATTTATCCATGAGGACCAAATCGTCCGCATAAGCCAATAATGCCACGGAGGAGCCTTGTAGTGGCATCCCCTCCTGGGGTCCAATATTAGTTTCCCTGATAACCTTTTCTAATACCAGATTGAAAAGMACAGGTGACATTGAGTCCCCCTGTCTTAGGCCTGAATTCACATTTATTGGGTCGGTTTCCGCTTCTCCTACTCTTATTTTAATGAACGTTTCCATAATACATGATTCGATCAAHTTAACTAATTTTTTTGGGAWGTTATACTCTCTAAGAATATTTATCAAGCTTTTGCGATGAATACTATCGTATGCCTTCTTGAAGTCGATAAAGAGCACGTGCAATTCCTTGTCGAATTCCCAGGTCTTTTGGAAAAATTGTCGGAGAATAAATATTTGGTCTACCGTAGATCTTCCTGGCCTAAAGCCTCCTTGATAATCTCCAATGATTTGCTCCGATTTTGTTCTTATCCTTGACAAGATACAGTTCGYGAAAACTTTATACGCAACACTTAGCAGGGAAATTCCGCGATAATTATTGCAATCTTGTTTATCCCCTTTCTTATGAATTGGGCATACTAAGGCTATTTTCCAATCTTCCGGAACTTTTTCGGATAGCCATATTTGGTGGATCAATTTCCACATCCTGAACGTCATTTCTTCTCCTCCTTTTTTGAGAAGTTCTGCATGAATTTGATCCTCGCCAGGTGACTTGTGATTTTTTAATATGTTAATTCGGAATCTTATCTCGTCCAATGAAGGTTCTGGGCATTCTTGTTCTTCTTCAGTTWMTAAGTTAAGGCTAAAGACTTCATCAGGTGCTTCACAGTTAAGGAGAGTATCAAAATAATCTCCCCACTTTTTGGCTAATTCTTCATTCGTGGTTATCAACGACCCATTGTCATCTTTTAGGAATCTTTCCTTCTTCTTGTAACCACCAGTAAGATAATTTATGCGTTTGTACATATCTCTAGCCCTATGTGCTTTGTAGTCTAGTTCAGCATTAACCATTATATTTCGAACATATTTCCGCTTTTCACCTCTTAGGATGTTGCTTGTTTCCCTTAGACGAGTTTTGTACCTTGCGAATAGTTCTTCGTTTCTCGTATCGTTTAACCAATTTCGCCTTGCAACCTTTCTTCTCTGCAACGCTTCTTCGCAAATTCTATTGAACCAGGGTTTAGGTTTTAGCTTTTTTGTTCCTAAARTCTTGTTAGCTACATTGCTTAAAGCATCTCTAAATTCTTCCCAACTCTCATCGATATTTTCTTYGAATATTATTTGCTTACTTTGTAAAGCGTCCTTGATACTGTTTACAAAAAGTTTGCCTATCGATGGCTACTGCCAGGCAATAGTTTCCCCTGTTATTCTCCAAGATTTCTTCCTAACCTAACCTAACCTAACCTATCCTAACTTTTTTTTTTTTTTTATTTTTTGTATTCACCCAAATGTATTATACAATTTATTTGAATTATTGATGTAATATGATTTTACCTAGGTAACCTAACTTTATTATTTTTTTTTTAATCGTAACTGGGCGGGAACTGTCGTTAGACATTACTTCCGCCCAGCCACATCGTTTATTGTAGATAAAAACAATACACATCATCTCTAGTATTGGTAGGCTAATCTCCCACCCAACGCTATTACAATCAATAATATACAAAAAGAAGGCACGTGGCCGTAAGGTATGCCATTTCAGCTACAATACATAATATTCTAAGTTCTGAATTCTGTTGGCTTCTTGATGGACTGCATCTAGATGCTTGCTTGGCGACTCCTCTTCGGGAGCCGGCCAAAGCCCGCCGCTCTGGAGACCCGTGCAGACTTCCGCCCTCGTTCTTGAGCCAGTCAACGCCCGCCGCTCTAGGGGCCCGTTCAATCGAGATAGGTCCTTTAACCAGGTACGAGCGCTGCATGTTGCCTGCGGCGCTCTTCCTCATCTCTGATTCTCATTATCCTCCCAATCATGCTGCTTTGGAGTCCAACATTATCTCGATCAGGTTGTCCGGGGACAGCTCGTCAATTTCGAGGTAGACACATACMTCGGCTCGCCACTGGTGCCACGCGTCGCACCGGAAGATTGCGTGTTCTGGCGAGTCAGGTGCCGACCCACACTGAGCGCATTCGTCGGTGTTGACTTTGTCAATACGTAACAGGTATTCGTTGAAGCAGCCATGCCCCGTTAACACCTGACAGAGATGGAAGGACAAGTCACCATGGTTTATGTTGTACCACCTACTGACGTCGCTTATCAGCCTGTGTGTCCATCGGCCTTTTTCGCTATTGTCCCACTGGCGTTACCAGCTTTCCATCAGTTGATCTCTTGCAGCCACTCTATCAATTCCACGATACGTTTTCTCCCTCTCTTCGGCCAGTAGCCTGAGGGGAGGCATGCTGGACACCACTGTTGCTGCATCGTGGGACACCGTACGGTAGCAACATGCTACCCTTAGCATCACCCTGCGGTACAAAGTCTCCATCTTTTTCAAGGCCTCGGCCGTTATGGAGGGGATCCAGAAAGGGGCTCCATATAACAACCGGGAGGTGACCACCGTGGCAACAACTTTCTTGTCCGCTGCTTGGGTCCTCTGAGATTCGGTAAGATCTGGATGAGCTGCCTACACGCCTCGGCGGCCCTTGACGCYGCGTGTTCGCCGTGTTGAATAAAGTGCAGTCTCGAATCAATCTGTATGCCGAGATATTTTACACATTTCCTTGAATGGAA